AAATTAAGGCTTCTGATTTCTTCTGGGACAAACTCGGGAGATACTGATAACTAAAATCTTTTTTTTTTTTTTTAGTAGTTTGGTGTTTCTGTGATGTTGTCTTTAATATGTTGATATACCTTTGGATTAAGAAGTCTTTCTTTTTTTAAAATTGCATTTCATTTTGTGACATTGTTTCATAGGCTCTGGGGTTCCCCTAACCCCTTCCCCCATGGTGGATTACTCCACCTTATTGCACTATTAAAGTTCAAATCCAGTCATGCTTCTTGCATTGCAAGCATGTACCATGCATAGAGTCCAGCATCTTATTGTCCAGATAAATTTAACGGTTTCCTGGGGAGACCATCGCTGGTATAAAAGCAGAGCTGGCAGAATATCATCCCAACCAATTTAAAGCCACAACATATCATCAACAACAGTTTACAACATTATGGAGTTAATTGACATGGTATTGAGTGACTGATATGTTAGAAAATGCAAGTTCTTAACCACATCCTGTGACTACTTCATTGACATTTCAATTTTAGTTTATATACAACCGGCTTCTATCCACCTTAAAATGGCTATAGTGTACTATCCAGCAGTGTTGTGTGTATTTTCATTTTCCTGTTAAGCAGTTTATAGTGTTGAAGCATAAATTTGCTGAACTTGGCAGATGTTAGGATAATCTAAACTGGCTTATAACTCTAACAAGGCATATGTCAACAGTCGAGGTGCAGAACAAAAAAAGGATTATTTTTAAAGGGAAAATCTTTAGGTATATTGTGTTGATGATAAATCTATTATAAATAGTATAGAGCCTATTCAAGATAAATTTTTATTTCTCAGAGAAACAGGTGAAAGATGGAAGGAGTGAAATAAAGAGAGTGGGGGAAAGGGAAAGGAAGGGAAACTCAAGAATTTTATAAAGAAAAAAGCAAAAACAACATGTTAAAACATGGAGAAATCAATAACCTCCCAAAAGAAATGAGACGGTACAGAGATTTTTACATTCTTTCTCCTCAATCTGGTAAACCATTTAATAATTTCTACATGTAAAAAATTACTTACATTTTACTCAAAAGATGTTTCCTAATAAAAGGTTGGCAATGATGAAAGATAATTTTATGACAGAAGAGAAATCACCTTAATTGACAGACAAATCTATAAAAAGTGGTAATTTGTGACATTCAGAATAAACACCAGTATTGTCAGTTCTATTCATAAGAATGGTATTTGACCAGTAATATTAACATGTGTGTGTCATAGGGAAGCAAATGGGAAGGTTACTATTGAAATCTAGCTTGATGGGGCCCAGCGGCGTGGCCTAGCGGCTAAAGTCCTCCCCTTGAACACGCAGGGATCCCATATGGGCGCCAGTTCTAATCCCAGCAGCTCCACTTCCCATCCAGCTCCCTGCTTGTGGCCTGGAGGACGGCCCAAAGCTTTGGCACTCTGCATCCATGTGGGAGACCTGGAAGAAGTTCCCAGATCCTGGCTTTGGATCGGCATAGCATCGGCCGTTGCGCTCACTTGGGGAGTGAATCATTGGATGGAAGATTTTCCTCTCTGTCTGTCCTCCTCTCTGTATATCTGAGTTTCCAATAAATAAATAAATCTAAAAAAAAAAAAAGAAGTCTAGCTTGATGAATCATTTGAAATAAATCTGGAAGTCACATAATCATCAGAAGTGAATGTGAAACAAAAAGGATTTGATAGGGAGAAAAGGCAAGTCAGATGTCTCAGAAAAACTAGGAGACAAGAATGCATGAAAACATGATAGTGAAGAAAAGTCCCTAAAATTGTTCCTTTTTTTTTTCCTGTGAGGTGATGTGAAAGAGTTTTCTGAACGGTCATTTTCACACAAAAGCATGCTTTCTCCTATAGAAACAGATTACAGGAAAATAAAACACTCTGAGAAGAACTGTTTCTCATAAAGACAAAAAGGGAACATGTTTCTGGGAAAATCACACGAAAAAACAATATTCTTCCTTAAATTGTAACATTTTTTCCATACAACTTTCTAGGGGTTCAAAAAAGTCATGAAACTTTTAATATGACAGGTTCCATCATTAATTATAAAGAAAGAATGTTTTAAATCTTCCTTTTCATATAACAGGTTAACTATTGGTTTTAATGGTAAAATTCTTAGTGATTGATTTTGTTATTAAAGTTGTTTACTGATCAGAAAGTAATCACCATATTTTACAAACTTACAGGCACTCAGAATAAAGTTAAAAAACGGTAAATTTCTTAGTGTCTTAATTATCATCAGCACGTTGATTTTCTGAATCTTCATATTTACAATTTTCCAAGAAATTTTGTTCATTATTTTCCAACTCCATCTTCAATTATCAAAAGAAATGTGTTTTAAAGCACACTGCCACTGATTCAAATATGAGATTTAGAATGGGGCTTGACAATATTTTATAACAAGTAAAAAGACCAGAAATTAAGAGGATGATGGATTTGAAACACCACCAAGGAAGCAAGAGTTTCATTTCTTAAGACCTTTGTTTCAAAATAAAAATCCATCTAAAATAGAACAATATCATGTTCCATGTTATTTTGGTATAAGCATTGCTACGTCTAGATTGTTTGATTATGTACTGTGCTTCAAACATTGCTTTTAGTACTCAGGGACTGTTTCCAAGCAAATTTTCAGTCCAGGATCCATTCAAAAGACTGCTCAGCTGTACCTTTCTGAGCTCAATAAATACATTTCTGTCTAGTCTCATCATATTTAGCATCTGACATTTTATAATGGAGTTTTGAAATTTTATGGAAGTAAAGCTGCTAGGGAGACTATATTGACTTAACCATCCCATCCAACGTCTCCTGTCATGTGGAACTGTTCCCAGTACAAGGCAGATTAGAGAACGTGAACTGCTTCAATTTGGCCCAACTGCCTGGCGAAAGAATTTTCCATTACATGGGTGGGTGAGATCAACTACATCTGGAAGCATTCAATTTATTCCGCGGCAGCAGTGTATGAGAACATAATAATGACTGGAAATAAATTTGAGAATGTTTTCTTTTATTGACGTTCTAACAAAGTCGTAGCAATGCTGAGATTATGAACTGTTGTTCTTACTCTATTCATGTTGAGTAGATCTAAGCACCTGCACTTGTGAGCTGCCTTTCATTTCTGCTTTCATTGTGCATTCTGCACACAATGGAACCCAAAGTAGCTACACTCAATGTAAAAAGGTTAGATGACAATACATGCAGTTTCCCGAGTATGCTGTGGTCCACAGGCTCCATCAGCTTTTCCTCTAACACAGAAAGAATGGATACAACCATGGAATGCTTGGGATTTACTTTCCAAGGGATGTGAGACTTCTTTCGATCTAATATGCAACCACCTAATATTTCCTATGTTTCACATTCAAGTGAGGATACAAACAGGGTCAATTGGTTAAAAGGAAATATACATAAGATTAGGAACAAGGCATCTTAATGCTTACAAAAGATCAAATCTCTGACAAGTAATCTAGGAAAAATAGTATAATCGGGGAAAGCAATGAAAATAAATGGCATTTTTTTAAATGACAAACTCTTGTGCTTAGAAATGAAGTTTGTCATGGCAAAATGCAGTAATTTTAAAAAATTGTATATAGGTTAGCTTATTATTCTATACAGAATCTTGCCTCAAGTAAAATATACAAATTTAAAAGTGTATTAATGCAATAAATAAAACTATTATTGTACAACTTTGACTCGCATTTTGTAGAAAATAGGTTACATGAGAAATATGGGAAATTCATTTTCGATGTTGGCAATTTGTTTTTTCTAAAAGCACCAAATTACTTTTATAAACCTTTTACAATTATCTCATATTCTCCAAAACTTCATATTGTGTCTTCAATATTGATATATGCCAAGTAATAGAGACACATGTTTTTTCCTATTAGGAATTTCTATATCTGTTTTGTACTGAATCAGACATCAATCAGACATCTCTATTTCATTTAACTCAGAACTATAATCCACAAATACCCAACTACCTGTAATTAGCATTTTCAGGATTACTATCTACAAAACCCAAACTTATCAAATAAAATATATATGTAAGTAAAATGTTTTATCTCCATTTTGTAAAATAAAAGACACAATTAAGCATGAGAAACTATTTTAATTTGTGTTTTAATTTTATGTAGTATTTTACATGTATTTAGGATTAATAGTAGATTCTCATGAATCCCAATTTTAGAATATGAAGAATCCTTAAAAATACCAAATATGAAGAACTCGTTTGACACATGAATGAAGTAAAGCCTTGAGAAACGAAACAATCTTCCCAGGATTATAGAGTAAATATGTGAAGATAAACTATGTAGCACACATTGCAAGATATTTTTTTATTTTCAGTAGATTTTTCTGATTTCAGTTTAAAATTAAAATTTTTAAAGTATATCTCTTAAATTTCTTCTATAAATTTATTTTAATACAGATTAAAAATGAGAAAATTTACACGTATTGATGGTGTCCAGAAAGTGTCCTAAATGTTTTATATTGCTTAGCTTTGCAGTAATATTTAATATATAAATAATATAATGCATGCTTATTTTCTTAAATTTGATCCATTCTATAACTAATTTAGCTCAATCTAAGGAATTGCATCATTTCTACTATATTACTATGAATACAGACAGTAGGGTTCTTACTAATTCTATCTAAAATGGTACATAAAAGAGATACTTCTTCAAAAGAAACCCAAATTTTGATAGATTGAAATACCTACATAATCCACTCAGAGATTTCATGTCTTTATAATCTCTTGATCCCCAAAATAATATCAACATCAAGCAGAAATTTTTCAGAAAAAAAGAAACTACAGTATTTCCAAATATTATTCCTTAGAATTACAAAAGAATATTGACTTTTATAGAATGATTATTTTGATTACTAAGTATATTTCAATCAAGTGAACATTTTCTTACATAGAGTGTATTAATAGAAGCTTCCTTAATAGCAGTCATTTACTAAAATATCAAATGTTGTCTCATATGTACACTCACCTGCTCAGAGAGGAGATCAGTGTTATCTTCTAGGTATTTACTGAAAGGGTTGGGTTCATACATTTCCTCCTCTTTTTTCAGTAATATTTTGGATTTAACAGGTACTGGACGAATTACTCCAGGCTTAGTCTTCAGAACATAAAATAAAAAAATTTAAACAAGGAAATAAACATTACTATAACAAGTAAATATATGTTGTTCAGTCATTCAAGAGTTGGTGTCACAAAAATGTATCATTTTTTTAAATTTTAACTATTTTTATATATGCAAAAACAGGCCCAGTGAGTATATAACTTCAAGTACATAACCTTAGTTTGAACTTGAGTTTATGGCTACCGAAGTATGAAGATTTACTTTCATAACATTCAAACTACAGTAATATCATTTAGTTGGCCAAACATGGTCTTCTGTCTGCTCATGAATTTTGTCAACATATTTCATTAAGTAAATATTTATTGAGAGTTCCGTCTGTGGCAGACAGCACTCTGGGCACAATGGGATCAATGATTTTTGCACATGACCCAAAGTAAAACAGCTTTGCTGTTCAGGATGATGCTCCCATTCTGCCACACCCACAGAGCTAGGCCTTCACAGCAAGACTCATGCCATGTTCAATAAACCAAGGATGGCCCACTGACCTATGGGGGTGGCAGATGGCCAGAAAATTGATTGCCTCTCCCAAAATGTGGAACAAATGATTAAAACACTGTAGGTACACTGGAAGATTTAAATAATTATAGGCCAACATTGGAGCTGCAGAAAAACCCTACTTGAACTAAAACCCAGATATCCAGGGAAAAGACAGACACCTGAGGGCTTCCCAGAACCCATCTCACAACATGGACCGAGTGTGGTTGGATGTTCTGTTCAGAGGTTACTGAAAACTTCTTTTTCTCTTATACTAAGGCGTCTCTTTTCTGTACTCAGTTCATTTCTGTAACTTAAAATCAAAAGGGTGCTAGCTGATAAATGCATCAGTCACTCAGGTGTCATAGGCTGTCCTCAATGTTGACTCTACATAAGAAGAGAAAGATAGAGAACTCTAGATCGGGGGCAATTTCAAACTCTAAAACCTTGTCACACTGTAAAATGTCACAAAATGATGGATAAGCTTCCACAAACATCTCAAGCAAGAATTCAATTTTAGAAAAAGTTTGACATTCTCTCTGTTTAAGCAACTTTAGAAAATGTTATGACAGTCTTTCTGTTTAAGGATGTTTCTGGAATCATTCTTCTCAACCCCATTTCCTTTATGAAAAATAAATTACTTCTCAGTCCATGCTGATGCTTCCAGGAGTTAAACTTCTGGGAGTACATCTATTTCTCTACTCTATGTATAAAATATCTAATATACTGTGAGTGTTAAATAAATGTCTCGTTGTAACACTTCTTTCAATCAAAACTTTCCCCTATTGTATGTTATGTGTATCCCAACTGGGGAAACACAGATTGAGAAAAGTTTCCATCTTCCATGCCAGGGAAGTATCTTCTACTGAAGAAACTTTGTTTTCCTTCAAAGGAAAAAATGAGCAAATAACATCAATAATGCCTGATGGCATGCAAACTATTTGCATGATGGTGATAGCCCTCTGGTAAGCATGTAGCACAGGAACCAAACCTTAGGGGGACTGATTTCTGCAGGGAGAGGCCTTGTATATGGGCCATGATCCTAAACTCTACAGATGTTTTGGCTCTCTCTTCTCTTTGTCTTCATATTTCTTTTTCTTTCCTTCTGTTCCTCTACCTTCTCTTTTTCTTCTCCTTTTGTAAAAGCAAATCAATATAACTCTAGTACTCATGAATTAGAAGGTTATAAAAGCAATGTGAAATCTTAGCTGCTAAGTTTGTGTCAGGTTAAAGAAATGAAAAGAGGAAATCTGACTGAGACCATTTAATAGGGAGAGACTTTCCTTGCTAGGAAAAAAAAATAACTGCTTGGTCTTCCTGGGCCTGATTGCAGGCACATTTGCTGTCAGAATCAATTACTGATGCAACACATGTGCTTCTGTGACAGCTCTTAGGATCAACGTTTAGATCTGTTTTTTGAAATCAATGTTTGACAATTAGACAATGATTGTTCTATTTCCTCTATCCTGCTACATTTTCTAAATGCTCCTTTCTTGGATTCTGTCTCCTAAGGTTTGGTGTACCAGAAATCTCTGAGTCTTCACTTAAAATTATTCACTTGATCGTCATAGTATTGTCCTGATCCTCACTTGATATAATTATCCCTTTCCTTTATCCTGCCTGTATTCCTGTACATTATGTGACCCTTACCAGGGAGTCAGTATTTCACAGACGTGGAAGCCAATTCAAAGCAAAAGAAAACTACTTTGACAATGTTTGTACATCATTTCCTATGAGTTTTAACCATACCCTCCAAATCCAATAGCCTCACAGTCTTGCTAAAGTTGGAAATATAGCTCCAGTAGCCCAACACAGAGCCACATGCACACTCCACAAACTCTAATATAGCAGCACGTCATGTTCAGGCTAACCTCTACACTTTCCTCACATCCTACCACATTGCTTCTCTCTAATCTAAAAACCCTTGATGCTCTGCTTCAGACAGTAACATCACTCTCCCATATACCCAGATCTGCATCCTACAAACATTGCATCACCAACTGTATTCAATATTTTAGATTAGAGATTAATCAATTTCTTATAAATTCTGTAAAAATCTTAAGTCACAAAACAATTTACAATTAATAAAGATCACAGTTTAAATCAAGGTGTGGTCTGATAATCAACCCTGTTGTTAACTATTTTTATATGTGATCCAGAATGAAAGAGAGAGAGGGATAGCATAGGACAGATAGAAATTTGAAATAATATTTGAGCATCCAGTTCTCTATTAACTTTCCATATCCAATAAATAGAAATGTCTTAGTGTTTTTATATTTGCAATTCCTTTAACTTCACAGCTCTGCTTTATCACTACTGTCAACCACCACCCCCTTAATTTTGGCCAATGTTATCTTATTTTACTTCATTTTTAACATTGTTCTTACTGCCTAAATATTCGTCGAACACTGCAGAACCCAATGTTTTCAGGTCCCAAAGACAACACACATGCATGAACTCTCTTCCTACAAAAACACATATCTGTATACATGGCAATCCACCTCCTAAGGCACTCTGTGATTTTCCTAACTAAGATAGCAAAATTTACATTTACATTTCTCTCGATTTGGAGAAAATCCATTCTGAAGCAGCTAAATGGCATTGCTAGGAGGCGAGTAGCAAGGAAACATATTTTAGTTTTACAGTGTTGTTAATAGACGTGTGACCTTGAAAATGCTATTCAACCTGTCTAGACCTTCTACTGAAGGGTTATAATTATAACCCATGATATGTCCTTTAATAATAGATAATGGCATATTTTACTATTTATCTTCCTGCACTCTCAGGGATCACATCACTTGGAGTTAGCGCTCAAGGCTTGTTTCTACACATTCAAATCCATCACTCAAACAAGGGCCTCAAATTGCCTTTTAGAAAATTTAACAGAACATAAGATGCAATGGCACTACTGATTCTGCACATTAAGGTCGTTTTGGAATATTAATTAACTTCTTTTCTGCTCTCCCTAATACTTTTCCCTCAATGTCAAATGTCCATGTAATCTACATTTGCGGAAGATTAAATTGCAACACCAGTAGACTAATGGCTCCATCTAGCACTTTGCCACTCAACAGGGATGGAGTGTGTAGACTGCTGTGCAGCAGCACCTGTGACCTGGATAGCAGTACATCTCAGGCTCTGTACTAATCATTTGAATCGGAATCTGCATTTTAACAAATGTCTTGGTGATTCATGTGCACATTAGCATTTAAAGGCATGAGACTAGAACATATCTCATCTATCACCTAGAAATAGTTATTTCTTGGTCTACCATGTCACTAGCCCAAATAAGCCCTTACTTTATTTCAATCTATTACAGAATCTATAGAGAAACTAAACTCACAAGTGGAAAACACAAAGCCATTCTAAGGATACCAAGGAGAGCAATTTCATAGCCCTTTTTCTAGGTGTGAGATTTAACAAAAAGTGGGGGGAAGGGTTGGGGTGGAACTAGGACCAGTGCTATGCCATGGTGGATAAGGCAGCTGCCAACAGTACCAGCATCCTACAGTAGAAACAGTTCAAGTCTGGCCGACTTCTGATCAACTCCTTGGTAGTGTGCTGGGGAGGGTAGTGAAGGATGACTCAAGTGCTTGGGCCATGTACCCACATGGGAAACTCAGAAAAATCCCTGGCTTCAGATCTGCTCAGATTCAAATGTACAAATAAACCTTTAAAGGGACACATAAAATAATGGACAGGTTACAAAAAGGAAAACATTTGCTCCCTATGACTGACTTAACAACAAACTAACTTATTCTAGGCACAAGGTATTTTTTAAGTCCCTCAAAGACAAAACAATTGTGTTACAACTTTGAAGCACAACTTTATTAAACACCCAATGAAGCCATTTGCCAGATTGTCAGGAGCAATAATGTCCACATAGATGAATAACATAAAACTTATGTTTTCAGTCAGATTTCAAATCAGTTGAGTAAGCCATAGACTGACCACAAGTATGTGAAGTCACCTCCATTAACTCATGAGTGAATCACTCAATTTCACATAAAATCATGTTGACTTGACTCTCAAAGTTCTATAATGCCTCTCCTTTTTACTCAGAGTAGTGCAAGACCCTTGCAATACAGGTAAGGCAATGCCTGATTACACACTCTCTCTCTCTCTCTCCCTCTCTCTCTCTCCCTCACTCCCTCCTTCCATCCCTCCTTCCCTCTCTCCCTTTCTCCCCCCCTCCCCCCTTTCCCTCTCTTTCTTTCTTTACTATGTCTCATAGACTATAATATTCCTTTCTTCAGGAGTTACTATTTGCTCTTTCCTTCCTTCTGGGACTCTCTCTCTTTTCATTTCTTCAAGTTTTTGTTCAAACATCACCCTATCAGGAGTCTTTCCTAATAAGCCATATGAAATAGTAACTGCCCATTCCCCTTAAATGTTTTATGTTTCTCCCAGTGACTCTTATCACCATCTGGCCTCGATATGATTCTCACCTGGCTTTCTCCACTTGAATATAAGTTCTTTGAATTCAGACATCTTTCGGGGTT